TCACTACTAGTTCTATATCGCTTCCTCATGTAGCCTCGGACATGCAGATTGTTGATATCTTCGCCAAAGCTATGACTAGAGTTCGACATCTCTTTCTTATAGACAAATTGATGCTTATGTCAAGGCATCAGTTTGAAGGGGGTGCGTAGGGGTGGATTCGAGCCGAGCCGAATAGTACTAGGTTCGAGCTCGGCTCAAGAGTATTCTACAAGGCTCAAGCTCGATTCGAGCTAGAACCTTGAGCTCAAGCTCGGCTCGAGTAAAAAATGCATAAGCTCGACCTCGGCTCGGCTCAAGCTCGATTTTGAGAAAAAATGTTTTATAAATATAAAAATTATATATAAAAAATTATTTTATATTTAAAATATAAAGAATTATAATAATTAATAATACTAATATTTTTATTATATATATATTATTTTCTATAATTTTATTATATACATATATATTATTTATATTAAATATCAAATATATATATGTATATATATACTCGAGCCGGCTCGCGAGCCYCMCYAGCCMARCWCTAGTAGGCTCGAGCTCAACTTGTTTAATAATSGAGCCACTGAATTGGGCTCGAGCTCGGTTGAAATTGAGCCAAGCCGAGCTCGAGCAGCTCGTGAAAAGCTCAGCTTGTTGCCACCCCTACGGGTGTGGAGACTCGATAACTTGATGTACCTTATTAGTATAGTCCCTATTGTATATTACTTTTACATCCTATTCTTCTTTTCTCTTTCAGCCCGGTATGGGCATTCTTGTAATTGTACATATCTTTTAATATATAAGAGACTCTTTGAGGTGGGGGTCATTCATTCTTGACACCTCTAAGATTATTCTTGTTCTTTTCTCTATTCAGCCAAGAGTGTTGACACCTAGTCCCAGTCCACCTTCCTCTTTACTCCTACAAACTATTTCCCATTTGATTAAATGATCTTTCTTTTCCTCCCCTGGCTCCCAAAGAAATGTTCTCATTAATCTCTCCAACTTCTTTAGCCTGCCTATTAGGAATCCTAAAAACGGAAAGAAAATATACTGGTAGATTTGCTAAGGTGGCTCAATAAAGTCACTCTACTCCCTATAGAGATGTGGTTTTCTTTTCCAATAAGCTAATCTTTTCTCAAACTTTTCCAAAACTAGGGTGCAAAAACTACTCTTTTGGGTTTGCCCCTAAAGGAAGACCTAGGTACTGCAAGGGCCAAGAAGAAACGGGACAAATCCACTTGGACCTCCTAGGGCAAATCCACTTGGACCCTTCATTGGAAGACTCTAGAATTTGGGTAGGCTCTCCAAACGGCCTCTTTTATTGCTCCTCTTTCTTCAAAGTACTTGCTTCCCCCAACCTTCTAGGTGGGGTTTTCCCTGTGAAAGAAATTTGGTGCAAGCCTATTCCCCCAAAAATCCAAGCCTTCTACTGAGAAATATTCCTTGGTAAGGTAAATACTTGCGATATGCTACAGAAAAAAAGGCCTTATATTTGCCTTTCTCCTCATGTGTGTTCATTGTGCAAGGAAAGTGGCGAGACCCTTTCTCATTTAATGATATCTTGTCCTTTTGTGCATCCAATTTGGGAATTCTTTTGTACTCTCTTTGGTTGTAGGTGGGTTCCCCCTCAAGATGTGGCAAGACTCTTCGACCATGAATTCTTGAGACAACGAAAGAAAAGTGGAATGGTAATGTGGAAAGCAACAAAGACAGCAATTTGATGGGTAATATGGGAAGGTTCCAATGGGTCTAGGAGTCCAAACTCTCTTATCTGGCTTGGAGGGATCCAAACAAACCTGATTAAGACAACCAAGCAAAATAGAAAGAGACTCAATTTCAGCATCCCTAAGTCCTCTACGAAACCCAAAATCCCAAGTAGGATCTAAGGGTGTTCCCAAAGGTGAAACAAATTTTGA